AGGATTAGTCTGGTGTTCGGGCTTTCCTTAATTGATGAGATCTTTAAAAGGATGCCTAAACCATAGGTCGCGGGATCGGAAATTTTTAAGTTGCGATAGATGGCGACTCCACTAGGGACGTTTAAAGAGGGTCAGGCCCATTTAATTGATGAAGTTAATAAAATAAAAATATTAATTTAAATATTTTTCCTCTTTAGTTTGTTTGCTTTATTTGTTTGGCTTTAATATCTGTTTGCCTATTTTAATTTTGCATCTGTTTGAATAAAAATTGTACACAAACCTTTGCACACAACAATCCCCCTACACCCGGGGGCATGAGGGTATTAAACATTGGGAGTGGTTGACGTACGACCGGCCCAAGTTTGGCCTTGGAGACTGTGAGCCTTGTCGAAAATCACACTCAAGGTGATAACCGGTTACTCTAGCCCGAAATAGTGCGACAGACCTTAGAGTTTTCCAGGTGACGGTGACAGAGATACTGGGTCCATATAATGGGGGCACCTTGGGGACCTTAAGACCAGTGAGATTAGAATTGTCCTATACAATGCATTTTTCTTGTAGGGACTACAGACCAAGGATTTAAACGTGACTTTTTGCGGGTGTACATTTGTTTGAGCATATGTGTGTTGCATTTGTTTGTGTTTATTTACTTCAAATGGATAAGAATTAAAAACAAATAGATATTAATAAAAAAAAGTATGATAAAAAATTTAACTCCCTTCTATATACCCAAACCTCAAAGCATCATATAGGATAGTTTATTTCAAAAAAAAAAACAACAAAAACAAATAAATATATAGCAAAAATCATGCATCATAACCTTAGTAAAAAAAACGATAAAATTTAGGCAGAAAACAAATATCATGTATCTTTTAGTTTAGCATATACATTCATTAGAAATGGAAGGCACATAGTATACAAAGATTTTTGAGAAAGGAGAACATTCTAAACTATAAGAATCGTGTGCCCTTATACTAAGGAAGCCTACTAGACTTTGGACTCTCGTCATCCTTTCAACAGAAGGCAAAGTCTACATCTTCTCAGACTTCTTCCAATCTAGAAAGATGTCATTCCTCAACTCAAATAGGAGATTATTTGAAATTTCGAAAAGGAGGCACGCAAAAAAAGGAAATTGAAGCAAAAAAAGAAAACAAAAAAAAAGAAAAAGAATTTGCTTCAAAAGAACATAGTTTGGGAAGGTAAAGAAAACTCCGCTGATGAATGAGAAATCATAAACTTATGGAGTTTGAGAAAATTGATTATAGGCACCCTTACACCTCCAATTCATTATCAAATCACTCCAAACCGCATCTTTCTTCTCTAACTCATCAACCTCATCAATAAAGATGAAAATTTTGGAAATCACCAAAATAGTGGGGAACCCGAAGATCCTATTGACGGTTACTTCTGATGGGAATAGCAAGAAGAGAATCTGAGAAGAAACGAAGACTAATTGCAAATCAACGAACGAGCAAGCATGTATATAGGGACATCATTCAATCATGAGCTTCTGTAGCCTGCAACAACATCATCAAAGTGAATTGAAAGATCTTGTACAAAGAATGTTCTCTACACAAAAAAATCAATGAGAATGATATTTGTTGAATTTCTCAATCATCTTTGCATCCTATTTTGCACCTCATATAGATAACATGTCTTCCTGGTAAATAATAAATAAGAACAAAAAGGGAAACCTAACCTGTGCATGTTAATCAAATAATGAGATCACTGGTAATCAAGTGCAAACTCGATACATCAAATTGGAAGCACTTAAGAAACCAGTAATTATGCAAGAAGACTGGGGGGCATAACACCCCCAAATTGATGATTCAAACACCGAGAGTTCCCCATGCGGAAATGACAATTTTTGGGATAAGAGGTGTAACACCCCAGCAACCCGCATTTGGATATTGTCCGCTTTGGCCGCAGCCCTCACGGTTTTGCTTCTGGCAATGGCACGCATGCCACCCCAAAACGCGTCCACATAAGGAAGGTATCCACACCCATATATATGGCATGCTTCGTTCTCCTTCCTAACCGATGTGGGACTTCACAATCCACCCCCCTCAAGGGAGTCCAGCG